GAACACCAAGGTTGCGAACTTTCGTGGAGGGCATAATCAGATCACCATTCAGATCCATCAGTTGACCAGAGAGCTTAGATCCTACAGCTTTAGAGCCAATCAGAATTACCTCAGTTTTATCATTTACATTACATTTACATTTAGTCATTTAGCAGACGCTTTTATCCAAAGCGACTTACAAATGAGGATTGCCTCCCTGGTCAAATAGGAGGAAAACCATTCAAGGGCTGTGCCAGTAATTCCAAATAAACAAACAAACAAACAGAAACACTCACACACATGTTTGTTTCTGTGAATTGTGGGGATTTTCCATAGACTCCTATTACTTTTATACTGACCAAACAATATTTTTTTCAGGTTTTACTATCCTTGTGGGAACATTTGGTCAAACACATACACACACACACAGTTTAGTTGAGTTAGTCATGGTTTACTCACCTGCATGTCGTTCCAGACGTGTCTGACTGTTTCTCTGTGGATCACAGAAGCAGATGTTCAGCAGAACGTTCACACATGTGATTTGTGTTTGTCGTTTCACTACAGGCCGTTTCCAGATGAAGCTTGTGTTGGAGATGATGACATCTACACCGGCCTCTCAGACCAGATCGAGTGAGTGTGTGTGTGTGTGTGTGTGTGTGTGCAAAGAAATTAGCTTAATCTGACAAAACCTTATTCATTTGTTAACACAATATGTAAATAAGTGAATAAAGTTGCATTTAAGAACTGACTGTATCTCAGTGACACGGTGGAGGAAGATGATGATCTTTATGACTGTGTGGAGGAAGATGAGAATGAAGGAGATGATATTTATGAAGATCTGATGAGGACAGAGGAACCAGAAACAGTGAGACACACACACACACACACACACAAATACATACAGAGAACTTATAGATAACTGTCTGTCTGATTGTCTGTCACAGCAGCAGAAGGTTGAAGTGGACAAGAGGAGCTGCTGTCTTCAGGAGATCAGACAGACTGAGGAGAAATACACAAACACACTGGAATCAATACTTCAGGTAAACACACACACACACACACACACACACACACACACACACACACACACACACACACACAC